AATAGGTATAAGGATATGAATACAAAACTAAAACAATTTTTTTTCTCAGTTTTGGCTGCCAACATTGTTATAGACTCAATAAAAATAGCAGAAGATAAGAAAATAAATTATTTCTCATCATCTTTCATATCTCAAGTTTGATATTTTCTGAAGACTTCCCTGATAGCTCTAGATGATCTTCCTAGGCCTTCTGACTTCTGTGCATACTTTTTTTCTTTATTGCACTTATAGTGGAGCGTTGTGATTTTTGTTGTGACTATTTCCCTACTACATTATCACAGCTCTGTGTAAGAATGAAAACTTTCTCCTTCATACGTCCAATGTCTAGTAGTAGAAATAGTATACAATATGAGAAAAATAACTGTTAGCTGAGTGAGCTAATAGATTTCATGATTCACTCAATAATTATTCTTGATGTTTACCTGATTCATTGTGGTAGCTTGGTCTTGACTTGGGCAGCCTTCCATTTATTTCCTACATAAACAAAAAACAGATCCTGAAAAAAATTGTTTTGCCAGACTTTGAAAATTGACCAGCATTTCTATATTTAAAATATAAAAATTTAAGATTTTGAAATAAATGTCAGTTTACAAGAAATATGCACATTTTCATTATATTAGTATTAATCTGTTATTTACAGAATTCAAAAATTCATAGTTGTGTCAAAGGGTGTCCATGAGACCATCTACATATTTAATGTTTTGTGAAGATGTTGATACTCAGTGTATAGTTGTACACACATCTGCAGACTCATTATAATAAAAGGAAACACAGTAAGATGAGTAGGGAGGAAAGACAACAGGCTGAGTCTGGAGAAATCCATGCACAGATGTTTGTTCTCTTGGTCTCGCCTGTGAGAAGACACACTTCTATCAGGAAAAACAGAGCAACACCTCTGCTGTTTCCCCCTCAAAAATTCCTGAGAACATCAGCACTCAGCATTTCACTGAAGGCTGATCATGAAGACATCCTCTGACTGGGCACATCCCAAAATTCCAAACCCATTGAAAGAAAGCAGGTGCTCAGCAAGAATCAGACTGCACAGTTCAGTTAAAGATAACCACTTTCCTAGGCAAGGAGAGTAAAACCATTTGCCAGTATGTTCCTGGACACCAGCCCAAGGCCAG